TACTGCCTTACTAATGAAACACTGCCCCAAGGAAGCACTGCAGAATGATGGTCTCTTCCCAGGTACACTTACATGTACATAGATGGATGGATTGATACATATTGAAATTTGGGGGAGTAGGTCTACCGAGAGTAAATGTTCCTGCAAATATGGAGACACAAGCAAACTCTTACTTTTCATTCGATTGCAAGACTCAGAATTGGACACTTTCAGGGTTGGAAGTCCTTGCTCGGTGGGATGTTTGCAGATTGCGGTGAGGCGGACATACGCCAATGTCCAGAATGTCTGCAAGATCCCACGTCCAGCCAAACGCACCACAATCCCGAACCAACGTAGTAGAGGAAGGACTAGGGCTATGAAAATGGTTCCCATCTTTATGTACATATATGCACGAAGTATACAAGCCAATCATTGTCATGACCCGGAACGGTGAGGCGCACTCCTGCATGCTTATTATTTTTTCAGGGCCAAAAAGGGTATCAAAGTCACCAAAATCCGCGATGATCTAGCAGTTGCCTGCTACTGCGATTGAAATACGGGCAAAAATCACGTTTGACCTCTGTTCATAGCGCTGTGACCCCGAGGCAGGGCACAGAGTCACCGAAACCCACAATTATCTTGTTGTTGCCGAGCCACTGCGAATACAACAGATGCACAAATTATGCCATGCTAATGCATGTGCCTCTAAGGCATACTCGACAATCAAATATCAGGCTCTCCGTTAAAAACATCCCACAGATTTAGCTCTGACGGCAAATATTTCCAAAGGGTCAGCGGAAAACACTAGAATTCCACATACCTACTAGTAAAGGTGGCAGATAAGCCTCCACTCCTCCCTCTGTCACCCCATTTCAGCTTTTGCCGCATTGTTGTTAGGGAGAGCTGCCTTACACACGTGCTGAGGAAAACCAGAACAATTCCTAGTATCTATCAATTCCGGCACCAAAAAAATGAAAAATAGAACACCACATTTCCATAGTTCTACCTCCCGCCCAGCATTTGACGTTAAGTGTCAGCTCTACACCGCCTACTGCCTTACTACTGAAGCAATACCCTAAGGAAGCGATGCGGAATGGTGCAGCCTACCTGCGTACACTGATAGATGCGTTGATGGATGGATGGAGGAATTGATATACATAGAGGGGACGCATGGATCAGAGAATAGGATACAAAGTGTGAGTTAGGGAGAGAAGGGTAGAGGAAAGTGGTTTCGGAGTCAAAATTTTCTTATCTAATGGCTGCTCATAAATTTTAGATCTCGTTAAACAAGAAGGCACAAAAGAGC